CCCCAGCTCGTACCAACCTACGCCACTACTTCCTTCTAGTTTATTATGCCCGCATCTGGAACAGCAGCAGTGAAGCATCCCGCGTCACCTTGATTTTCCTCAGTCTGTAGACAAATTCCTTACCTGTTAAACTGCTGCCGCCTTACATAATACTCCAATACCCTCTGACCTCCTCTACGAATCAGGCCTAGTGCGCATATGAGTTTAGCGACGTTGCAGTTAGTGGGCAAGTAATAGATTCTGTTATCATTTCTTCCTAACCTTTTGACCTGCTTTAAGCTAATAAAGGACTTAAATGCCAACTTCATCTAAATATGCAGCGTTACTGGCCTGGTTGTTTTCTTTTCTTTTTTTCTCCATGCCAACTTACACCTCGTACAAGTCTAGTCCACACACCGAACTACTCTATTAACTCTGTTTAGCGTTTATTGTTCTCGGCCAATCCCTACTAACGAAAACCAAACCCAAATTAGCTCTTTTCTTCCTCAAATCGCTGAGTGACTTAATCACGTACTAACTCTAATTGTGTAGTTTTAATGGCCTGGTTGTCTTCTATTTCCCCAGTGAACTTATACTTAGTCTTAGTCAAGTCTCCACCCCGGATTACTCTACCAGCTCTGTCTAGTAACTGGCGCTCGCAGTCTAACTGATAAAAACCAGACCATTATCATCATTATTATTATCATCATTATTATTATCATTATCAGAGCGCATTCTGCGCTTATATATATATATATATATATATCCATTTAATGATTCGTCCCACGAAACACTCTCACACACAACATCGCGGAACGCTTCTCGCCCCGTTAGCACCCACACAAACGCTCCGACGCTGTTTAGCCATGGTGCAGTCGCCGTGAGTATCAACATTCCAGTCCTACCGTCTCATTGACAACTGTCATTGAACTTCTCCTCCGCGACTTGCCTCTACCAGCGTCCTATGCTCTATGCTTGTTCGAATTGACTGAGCTGTCTCTACTGGCCTGGCTTTCCCCCGAACAAAAATGGTTGCTGGAGTATTTATTAATGCGCAAACCGCACTTATGACTGTTTGGATGGTTTTCTACCTTGCAGATCTGGTAGCATACACGAAGGAAGAAAACTTCGTATGGTGGACGGTACGCCCTGCAGAAGGGGTCGCCCCGTTACGTTGCACCTTTGTGCGTTCGTATACCCGCCACCCCTCCAGTAGCGCGTGTGCATCGCACACAGCAGGTGGTTCGGAGTCTGGCCTTTAAATTTAGGAAATCAAAAAAATACTGCTGACTTCTCTATGTTGCTGGTGTTGGGCTCGCTTCGGTTGAGTTTTGCACCTGGCAATGCCATAAACCACAGATGAAAAAAGTGGCCTCTTATCTATAAAGAAAAACAAAAACAAACTATTAGAAGTTCATTTGGGATAGCCCAGGGATACTCTGCAAGTACCCATGGCCAACATCGGCGAGCATGGCTGTATCTGCCTTTGTCAGAACAGATGCTACACCGCACCGAATCTCATTTCGTCATCCAACCAGAGAATACATCTACTCGCCGCTCCCAGTGGTCAACACCTTCTATGCACCATCTACAGATTACAGCTGATAGCAGTACTTCGGGGACTAGTGACTATCTCTCTCTCTATCTCCCTTGCACACACTTTCTCTACTGGTATAACCCAACTCATGTAATAAACACCAGATCATCCAGTTATCTTAGAAGTTCACTCCCGCCAGCCCTCACACATCTGATCCCCATACCACGCTTCTACACGCTTTTATCGGCCTTTACTAGATCCCTCATAAGGTAGTATCGTATGTTAGCAAACTCAACCCCAGTCGCTAGCCTGCTAAGTACAAATCTATCTATTTCCTACTTCATATAATCACTTGTCATCACCTTAATTACAGCAGACGTCAAGTTTTTCTTTATGTGTATATTAATGCATATTATTCTTTTTTATATCCTCTCAAATTCACCATGTTATGCGAATCTCCTCCCATCCCTCGTCTTCCCAAGCTTTGAACTTCGGAAGCGCCCGTTTTGGACGACCTGGTTAGCTGGTTAGCCTATGATCTACAACTCCGGGATCACCAAGCGGACCACAAACCTCCACAATTCCGTAGCGGCTTCGTTCCTGCTTGTTTCCTCGACCAGGCTGAAATGAATCCCGCTGTCTGATGAACTGCACACCCCAGCCGAATCACCGTACATATGACGTTCACTAAGGGGCTGTCCAAAAACTGAAGCCTGTCAGGCCAATGATGGCCCGGCACTGCCATACTCAGTTTGATAGCACACCCGCAACCGTTCCATTCCTCCTCCCAACGGAGCCCTCTCGCCTACTCGTTTCATTGACCCAAACTACCACCATTGCATTCACTCCAACCTGTTGGACTACTCGTCCTAATTCAACCACCTCTGTGTCTCCATCCAAACTAAACCCTGCACCTGACTTCCCTTCCCTACTGCAATCAGCGAGTCCGCTTGTGCTCGGATTGCACCATATTTTTGAGACCAAACTTGCTATGTTCTCCCAATTCGAATTATTTTGTCCCCACCTTCACTTTTGCTCCTTGTGACTCCGGCCATTTACCAGACCTCCCAAGGCCACTCATGGCCAGCAATGTTTTTCAGTTTAAGTTCATGTCAGCCGACTGAGTCTTTGAGTCAGTCGGACCTCATGCCCATTGTTCCCTACAAGTTGCGAAAGAAACCTCTTATTATTATTTCATCCAATACTTCTCACTGTTCATGACATTGTCCCCTTTTCGCGGAATTCCCACTACCCGCAAACCCCCCAGTCATGCCCCATTCTGACTATAAACGCATGATCATGCCGGACGGTATGCCACCCACAGGTTTGGAATAAACATTATTATTATTATTATTATTATTATTATTATTGGATACCTGCATTCTAAGCCGTCAGCTGGGAAAACAGCCGCTTTCCCCCTGGTGCTCGGATTTTTAGTCCGCGAATACGGAAATGGACCCTGCGGCAGTTTAAATGACTGACTTGATCGTTCGATCCGTCTCATTTGGAGTGGCAATGAAACAGTATTGGCAGCAGTGATAAACACCACAATGTACCATGGACTAAACAGATCTTTCGAGACTGGGGTTAGTCAGTCTGAAACTTAAGAAAAGTGCCGTTTCGGACCGTGACATCCTGGCAGTTTCCACTGAATGTCGAGGTGAGGATTCGGAGGGACTGAAAGAAGTGAAGTTCGGCGAAGAAGCTTGGTAGTGTGGGTGAACATATCTAAGGCTCGACGAATGTAGGCTACCCTGCAGGGCGTGCCGTAGAGCTCAAGTTTTTAGATAAGCGGAAGTCAGGAGGTATACAACCTATACTGTCAACAGTATGGAGCACGCAGTGGGTTGTGTGACAACTGTGTGCTGGGATTCAGAAAGACGCGGAAAGCAACAGATGAGTGGTCTCGCCTCAAGTATCAGGAGGTCCTGTTGAAACCCTAGGGGCAGATTTTCCAGAACGCTTTGTAGCCCGCTCAGCTATTGTGCCGCTGCTTCCCTCAGTACGTTTTATTCAAAAAATGAATTTCCAGGATGCAGAGTAGGCTTATTCTGATTTAAAACTTGCGTATTTTTACGATGTTTAGCCTCTGGCGAGGGTCGTTTGTCCCCTGTTCCGGTCTGTGGTGCGTTTGTGATTAGATAACGATTTTTAGAAGTATGCACCAGGAGACGATCAAACAGAAAGCTTGTACCAGAGATAAAGATATAAACAAATGAAATATCAGCCCATATTATTCATAGCGTTTGGAATGGGTGTATGGGTGGGTTTTCACTGCCCTGTTTCCATACGACTTTAAGTGAAAACAATATGCATAGAAGGGCATAGGCCATTCGATCAATGAATGCATAGAGCACACTCTCAGTTAACACAGCACGGTGATCAATGATGGAGAAATGCTGTTGACCGTTGTTGAAACACACAGTCTCTTATTTGCGGAGAAAAAACTATGCATTAAGTCCAACTTCCGACTCGCTTACTTTCTGTAAATAAACGGTGGGCGTCTTCAACTGATTCGGGCATACGAATTTTTACCTCCAGGTCCTAGTAGTAGATACCTATTCTGCATTGAGTGGCCTCATTCCAAGCCGGTTCAACAAATGATGTATTTGGAATGTCTGGAACATTAGTTAACTCTCCGGCGACCTAATAGGGTTTGTTGTAAACATAGGGCGCAATCTTAGACCACTTTTTGACCGTACAAAAGATTGCTGACGTATGTCGATCGAGAAAAAAGTTTCAGGCAGGTGGCATTTACTTGCGGCCGCGATGATTGCTTTTGCGCCAGCGAAACGATCGGTGTAGTTTTTAGGTTCCTGGACGGCTAGATTAAGTAGTGCCGTGAGGATCGCTTTCCTCTTCGCAGGGCGATTTGTGTGATTCTACGGGTGACTGATGTAATAATGAAGATAATAATGATAATGTTGTAGCTTCGTCGGTGAAAACGAAGTATAATCACAACGGGGATTTGTGCTTTTCAATAATCCTGAATTCTCAAAGCTCTCAGGATGATTGCCGTCTATTTGAAAACCAGTAAACTTGCATCGTTGATCATGGCTCGCTCAGCGAAAATAGTTCGAGCAGGCCTTAGCAGTGGTACAGTAAATTCATGGGGCCATTTGTGTAAGCAGTACACCGTACCACTCACTGTTACCTCCAACCCACCAGTTTGTCTATAACCGCTGCCCACTTAGCATGTCCTGAATGTTGACCTTTTCTTGATAAGACTCCGCTCATAGTGAAACAATAGGGACTGATCTGGTCCGATAACCCATGTTTGGAAAGTCTCCGCTCTCCTCAGAACGGTTCAGCTGACGGGGTCAAGGAATCTGAACAAGGCTCATTGGTTGCAAGCAAGACTTATCTAAATGACCATGCGCTTGGTATCATGACCCTAATTGGTCCAGGACGATAAGATCTGCGGCGAATTCATAGGTTGCTACAATGCTTTAAATTCACCGTGTTATAACATGGAGGCACTCACTTAACCCATCTTGACGGAGGATACAGTTGACTGGCGTATAAACGGAAAGTAGGGAGGGTGGAAAGTCTTTCGAATGCTAGAGGAGGGGTCTAGTGGCATCAAAGTGAGCTGGTACAGTTGCAACAGGCCCAGCACCGGTAAAATGATGCGCTGCTTTTGATTTATAGCCAGTTGTAGTGCAACTTGTAGAACTTGGTCTGGAGAGCTAAGCATCATTATGCGCGGGTCCAAATCGTGATCTAAAAGGATGTGCGTTTTTAGCTTCATCATGAGTTTGGGTGGCTGGCTGTAGAGGAATAGTCATTTTTGCACTCGAATTTGACTGGGCGCCAAATTATTTATTGAAAACTGAAACGTTGTCTTAGCATCTGTAGTTTCCAGTACACCGAGGTCTGAATGTTCTTCTGCTGCTATATTTTAAATAAACCCGAGAAATATGAAAACGAGCTTTTCACTAGTTTCTGGGGCCACCTTAAAAAATTTCTAGATAGGAAAAACGAACCAGTCATATCGCGGTAGTTCAGCGCTTGAGGTTTAATCCTATGTTTGATATTTTATCTGATTATTGCCTGTTTTTCGTATTTATAGACCCACTCCAAGATAAGGCAACAAGGAAATTTTTGGGTAGGTTGGCACAAAAACATTATGAGCGTGTACTTGCCCCCTTCTCAAATTTTGTGACGCACATTGCTCAAGCGCTCCATCTTATGGCTCTTATGGCTCTTCATCTAATATCTATCTTTGACTACCTTATTCTCGCTCATTTATTTGCCAATTAACAGTCGTCACTGACACCAGCTCATGACCTTGATGTAGCGCAATTTATACAGAAACGCTAGGTTAATTCGTTCAATTATTCTCTGAAAACATCGCTGTTTAGATTCCATAGTATTACTAATCTGGGCAGACTGTAGGCTGAAAAATACCCAGCAGTATTTTAAAATCGTAAAGAAAGGAGTGTCAAGACCCAAGATGCAGAGATGTAAGGTTTTTCGGCCCGGATACCAGGTAAAGAACACCAATATACACAATGATTCTTATCCTTATTTGCTTAGCGACGCCATAAACACTATAGCCTTCACAAATGTGACAGCGATGGTTGCCTCGGTTGGAATGAGTAGCTGTGGCACGAATAACTGACCAGTCAAGGGCAGCCGTTCTTAATACCAAATTTCGGGTGCTTGGTACGGGGCGGATCTTTTATAAGCACTTTCTTGTGTGACAACACAAGTGAAACTCCTTATAATTGGATTTTATTTATCACACCTATGATATTCCGATTTTCTTGTTCGAGATGCCCCTCTTGCGTGAAAGCAGCCGGAGAGGTAATCCACCATTTAAATTTTCCATGACCTTCTATATCAACGGGATAATTCGTAGGATGGATTCCTCACCGAAGTATTTAGGGCGCAACCTGAATGCGGTTGTCGCAGTCACCCCAACAGCCTCTTCTGAAATTGGTATTACCGTGGAATGAGGTCGCCCACCGACGGTGGATTAAAACCCATGTAATAATAATAATAATAAAGAAAGTTTATTTGGCGGCACGGTAAATTTCAAATAAGGGTCCAAAACTACTCTAATTATCCGGATACATGCCTCAGTCTCCTCGGACCTAATGGAGTATCTTCTTTGCATACCGTGATATGACGTCTGATTCGAGGCGCTGCAGCTCTGTCGCCGTTGGCTGATCGTTATTCGGGTGGGTGCAGTTTCGCGTTTAGCATAAAATAATGACGGGCAGAAGAAGGAACTGCCCCCAGATTAACATTGCTAACGATGTTTAAATTAAAATATTGAAATTTTTTGTGATAGCTGGACCTGATCGATCCCAATGCCTGATGTTCCACAGTGATCCAATAATCGTACTCAGAGATATGAGCTTTTAGCTCTATTTTATGAGGTTTAACCACTCGAAGACACCAGCATCCACCGGAATGCTACACACCCACAGAGCTTTTATGGGAAATGAACAGTTCGATTCTCGTTCGGACGCATGATGATAAATTGCTGATTCTCAGAGGTAAGTAATAGACCGGCTACTTGTAGGGCAACGGGGTTAATGGTAATTTACATCTAGTATGTCATCTTGGTTGTCGAAATTAAGCAAACAGGTCAAATAATTTGTGGACAGTAAGGAATCAATGTTGGAGGACCTCAAAACAATGCCCCGTGTGGCGCTTTGCGGGCTGATTTCTTCATGCATCGGAGGCACCGCTGACCTGAGACTTAAGAAGAATAAAATTTCACTAACTGATATTTTCTTAACTCTACGCCTTACGAAACCTACTAAAGTTATCAGGGAGTTTTTAAGGTTACAATATCCATGCAAAAATGTGTGCTGCATTGGGGCTCTTGATGTTTTCGCCGCGCTTAAACGTGAATGGATTAGCGCACAACTTACTACCCTGAAATAGTGAATGATTATGAGTAATCACATGCAGGCATTGCTCTGGTCTTTTGTTGAAAAAAATGTTTCTATGTTCTGACTGTCGTGAAACCCCACTGGCAAGTATTGACGTGCGGAAGAGTTTAATTGAAAGATGAGAAAGTTGTGGTTATCTGTTTTGGCACCAGAAGGTACAAGCACTATCACCTTGGCGTCTTGTGCAAATTGTGCTTTAACCAGCCTTTTCGTCACCAAGTTTCAACTACGGTTCTTGTCTAAAACAGAGGTGACGGAGTTCTGCTGGTACGGTATCTTGCGTTTTCTGACTGGGTGGGGCGAGAAAGAAAGCCTTGACAACTGTACAATGTAGATTATATTGGCGGGGTGTTCCGCTGCTATACCATAACTGGCAGATCATCACGAAGCTACCGACAGCGTTTCACGTAGGATTCTCCTGTTACATTATGTATAAACAGAAAACGTTCGGCTTTTTTGCACATGATAAGTACGCGTTTTATGGTCCACGCAAGTTTATCGCGGATGTTTCTACCAAATATGGGCATCATTACCTGATTAACTTCGGAAAAATTTGTGGGATTGGTGATTCGTTGGAGTTTTTTATATGCTTGCCCATCAGCGGTGTTAATGTGATTGTTTTTTTACATAACAGTGCTTATCCATCTTGTTGTCGTTGCGGGTTGCAATGAGCTCTACATCACGCGGTCCTCTAAAGTGTGTTGTTCCTTGAATTCAAGTCCATGGGTTCTATAACTCGTTACATGGAGCGAATGTCAGCAGCACAGTGGGCTGGATGGATATGGGTGATTTTTAGTGCTGCTTATCTGCCATGGATCCTTAAACCGATAAAGCGGTAAACTCAGTTGCCGGAAGGGAAAACAGTTTTCAGAAAATCGAGGTTTTCCGGTTGTCTGTGAGTCCCACATACGGTGCTATCGATGAGCTTCACATCAGGGCGATGTTTCTTCAGTGCGAAAACTGGTGACCGACGAATGGTCCACAACACCTGTGCTGTTTGCTGACCAAATCGGTTATTTGCACACGCAGTATCGTCTCAGTCAGCTGAATGTAGAACAAAACTTTTGACATCTTGTAAAAACACCGTTCAATATATTGTGGACAAAAACAACAACCACTATAAGTGCAGACCGAAGTCAATTTTGTGTAAACCAAAGGGTTGCAAAGTCGAAAATTTCCCAAGTAGTTAGTCAATTTTAACCGCACTTTTTTGTGCTATATTGTTCACAGTCTTTTTTCTGGCCAGCGAAATGCAGACGTCACAATAACCCCTGATTCAAATGCAATTAATGGTTTGACAACAAAACGCAAACCTAAATGTCTGCAACGTTTATTTTTGCTCGGCTTGCATAAGGTTTGGGTAACTTTTTACACCCATCGCGCAATTCACCCAAGTCGATGCTTGAAACATGATCGCTTGTATCATTGCCGAGCTATGCAATTTCGCTGTATTATATTTTGGTCTACCCTGATCGCCAGACGTCATAAAGTAGAAGTGGGTAAGGAGAATTTAGCATGACACTAATTCGAAATAACTGGGTATGCTACCCGATGGAAATGCAAGTATGCACCGCTGTCCATAATGCATTCGCGGACATCCAGAAGATTATACTATTTTCACAATAGGCTGTACGTGGTTCGCCGCTGGTCTAGGGATCAATATTCTCCAAGTAAAAGCACACTGAATCAAGTTTTTGGTATTTTTGTAAACGACAAAAAATGTCCCAGAAGAAACGTAGAAATCCAGCGACCGCTATTTAACATTATGACCGCATGCTTTCTCATATACCCTGGCAGCTTATCCAAACTGACGGACCCGTAATAATGCGCAAAGCTGAGCGTGAGGTTTTAAGAACAAACAAAAGCCTAATCCGACGGCCGACATCACAACCGTATTGGATTCTCCTCACACATACCCAAGGTTGAGCATCAGGGAAACCACATTGGGCGTAGGAGCCCTTTTTATTTGAATGATGCTCACTGATAACACTGATTTTATTCGACGATGATTATGGAAGAATAGAGATAACCGATTTAATACGGCATACTCACCAAGTAAAGGCTGCACACTATCCTACCGCTGTAATAGCCAACTTACAAACTGTTCTACCAGTCGTTTTAAAAATAAACAAACAACGTTTTGATACTCTACTTGCTGTTCCAATGGTAAATTATTTGAGTTGTGATTCCATTGTTCTAGTTTACATGCCTTCCTAATGAGGTAAGTGCACAAAAATCTAGGGTTGGAAGTGCTTGTACTAATTAAGGTGCCTCATCTTTGCCGGCTGCTGCACATCAGTAAGGATCGGTGTCTGGCACCGATCCAAAGGTGTCGGTATTCAGATATCTTGTGTGAAGTTAGAGCTGAGGTACACTTCAAACAGAACACCCGTATGATGTCTTATTGTTAACTGGAGAGTCCTGACCTCGGGATTCTTCTGATTTTGTTTGGCTTTGTCGCTGCTGCAACGCATTATTGAGTATGTGGGTACTTAGTAACAAACCTGTCGTCCAAGAGAACCAGATCATTCAACCATGAAAGGTTGGCTGAAGCAGATGAATTCCAAAAGCTGTCTGCCAATTTGTTTTCTGTGGTTGGGTCATTGATAACTTGTCTGGATGCATTTGCCGGTCAGGAACACAGTGCAGTAAACTATGCGCTATTTTATACCAGTACAAACCAGGGCCCTGAAACGGAAAACGTAACGACATGCGCAAAATGGATAGTCAGGAAAATTTTAGGTAACAGATGAGAGTACGGTCAATCCTCGGCACCATAGGGAAATCACAACAAAATCCGGTAGATATCAGGCGCTCAGTCCCCGTTCGAACGAGTCCCGAAGGA